TTTTTTTTTTTTAAAGATTTTATTTATTTATTTGACAGAGAGAGACACAGCGAGAGAGGGAACACAAGCAGGGGGAGTGGGAGAGGGAGAAGCAGGGAGCCTGATGCGGGGCTTGATCCCAGGACCCTGGGATCATGCCCTGAGCCAAAGGCAGACGCTCAATGACTGAGCCACCCAGGCGCCCCTTCCCAGGAGTTTTATACAATTTTTAGAACACTTCTTTTAATAACATATCTATGCAAACATAATCTAAGAAGGTTTAGTTTCACTTATTTGACAATACTTCCCATGAAACTTAACAAGTAAGCCACATTAGTTTCATTTTTACAAAATTTTTTTTTTTTAAGATTTTATTTTTAAGTAATCTCTACACCCAATGTGGGGCTCGAATTTACAACTCCTAGATAAAGAGTTGCAGGCTTTACCGACTGAGCCAGGCAGCCGCCCCTTCACAAAATTCTTGAAATGTTCCCAGGGCCTTCTGGAACATTTCATTTATACTGTGGTCAAAAGACTTTATTTTAGAGTTTGACTTTGGGAAGTATGTCAAAAAATATCAATAGGTTTGAACATTTCATTAATCAAAATCAATATATCAAAAGGTTGAAACATGTCATTAGATTAGAGATCATTAGGAGACAATATTTATCTATTTAACCAAAGTGATAATAAAAGATTTCAAAGGAAATTACAGATGATACGTAGTTGTGAGCAAAACTTAGCTCTTAATACTAAGACTCAGTTTTTTTGAATAATCAAAAATCTGATAAAGAGAAAACATAGAATCTTTGTTTATAAAAAGGTATTTATACAGGTGTTTATAAAGGTAATCTTTAATGTAATCTTCAACAGAAAACTGTTTACAAAAAGCAAACCAATAATCTAATAAAACATTTCCCTTTTAACAGAGAGAAAAACCAAATTTTACTTTTGCATCAGCAATACTTTTGATATTAAAATACACTTATTTTAACCTTAGCCACTATTGACCACACATAAAATTCCCTTCCAAAGATGTTTTGTTTTTTTTTTAAATAAGCCTTTTACAACTTTTCTTTTCACATTCAGATTTTGTCCTGTTTTCCCTCTTTAAATAATTAGCCTTACTTTAGGAAAAAAAAACTTTCTCTCAACAAAAATATTTTTTCATTTCTTAGATTTTTTTTTTAATATTGTACAATACACATAACATA